ACCAATAACAAAAATCTGAAAAAACAAAAACAAATAAATTACCTTGAGTAAAAAATAGGAAATGACAAAATATGAAACTTCAATTTGAAAACAGACATTGTGAATTTGTTTGTTAGTAACAGATCCATATTCCATAATATAAGTGGTGGGAATGAGATTAGATTGGTCACCTTTGCAAAGAAGATCGTATCAGCAATATATCCTTCCCAAGTTTCTTCCCTCACTATCTATTGCAAATAAATCATAAAAATAAAACAACAGCTAAACGCCCAAAAAAAAAAAAACATTGATTTCACACACATTCAGAAATTTAACATGAAATGTTGAAGTTGAAACAGTCCAAACCTTGATGGCAGTCAAGAGCCCAAACGCCAAAGCCGCTTGAATTTCCTAGAAACAAATTAAAACAATAAAAATAACGTGAAATTTACGAATCAAATTCGATGCATTGGCAACGATGTTTCAGAGAGAGAGAGGAAATTACTCGATGAAGGAGGCGATCGGTGATTTGGGTATTGAGGACTTGGACTACGGAGGTCCGGAGGACAAAGTAGGAGAAGAAAGCCAAGAAATGGAGAAGATAGTACGGCTCTGATACCATCGTATTCAAAAGCTCCATTGGCTTGCTCTGCTTCTTGTCCATTGCTTCTCTCTGTCTCTCGATCTGACTACGCTACCAGCTCTGAGCTGAGTTTTCACTGCTCCATCACAATTCACAAAGCTTCGTCCCAGTCCCACAATCAATTAAATTAAAATTGGAAATAATTATTTTTTATGGGCCTATATTGGGCTATTCAAATAACCCAATGCTCGAATTTAACCCATTTGTTTGTCCAATACTCTTTTGGACTATCACGATAGTCGAACTCAACATCCTAGATTATTTTTTCAACTCAAACTCACGATGGTTGTTAGTTTCCAAACAATTTCATCCAAATTGCTGTCAATAAAGCACTTGAGTATATTAAGAAGGCAATTCAGTCCTTCAACTCTTCGGACCTCCTTCTGAAAAGAGGTTTAGGGTTTATGGTTTATGGTTTAGACATCCAATTTAACTATATGCACCAAACGAGGCCTTAACCTACATGTTACATTGGGCTAGAAAAGAAAATGGCATTTGCATATTTGCAAGTATCAAAAAGCTTAAGTAATGACTTAAGAAAGAAACCAACTACAAAGGACTAGGGGTCGGCACAATTTCGGGTCAACCTCACTAAACCATCCAATCTGATCATAGTGAGTTGGGTTGACTTAAAAATGAGCGGGCTTTGAGTTCAAAAAATCATAAACCGGTATGTACGTGTTGGGTTACGAGTTGAAACCAAAACTTAAAAGTAAGCTTAATTTTGAGTTAACCTGACCGAACCGCACAACTCGATCACAAAAAAATTGAGTTGGGTTGACCTAATAATGAGTGGATCTTGAGTCTAATAAATTATAAACCGCTATATATCAAGTTGGGTTACAAATTAGGACTAAAACCAATCCAACCCAACCCATACCCATACCCACCCCTATCAAGGAGGACGGAGCTAGGTTGGCAAAGTGGTAAATTTGCCCCCACCCCCAATTAAGCCTCAAATCCTACAACTGGAAAAGAAAAAATGTTAATTGGGCTTGCAACACAAGCCTGTCGGGCTGGTTCAGGATTTTCAGGTCTTGCTCGATTCATTTGACTAACTTTTGGTCCACGCTCACATTTACCGAAAATTTCAAAATATAGCTTAGCATTGCAGCTTGCAACTTTTGTTCCCTTTCTCAATACATTGCACCTTTGCCACTTTAACTTTGACAGTGAGGAAAACTGAAATCAAATTCATTTTCAATTACTTATTGTTTCCATTTTCTGCTTTTGTACTACAAAGATAGTACCCCAATGAGCTATGTTTTCAAAGGCTATATATGCGCATGTGAATGATTGATAATTGTTACTGATACTATTCATTATACTACAATTTTACTGAGTTATGATTTTGACAATTGTCTACATATTTGAGGGTGATTGTCAACAATTGATGTACGCATACCTTTCCGATACCAACGGTTGATGCATGCATCGGTGCATCAGCGATTGTTCTTTGAACTTATCTTTATACCAACAAACCTATAATTTACTAGTCATTGTATCTATATTTGACACACAAATGACCGTCCTATTAAATATAAATTATCAACAAAAATTGAACCTAAAATGACTCAAAAACCATGTCATTGTTCCATAAATTGGCTCGTGTTGTGACAAGCAAACCACCGGGAAAAATAAAAGGGAGAACTTGCGTCTCCAAACAACATGACCTGTTTTCTCTCACCGGAATTGACTGGAAGAGTGGAAGAGAGGACGCACGTGGCAACGCGTGGCACGTGCTTGCACGTTACCGTAAACTATAAGATGACGAACCGTGCATGATTATATATCTAAAATTCTAACATATCCGGTCGAAGCATCTTAGAAAAGGCAATGCGCTATAGATCCTCGCCACGTGTCATTGACCACCATCAGTTTTGGCTTTTGACACGAGCGAAGCACTCACATGGGCAGCTGACACAACAGCCAACTCTATCACGTGCAAACTGGACCCCACAGATACTAAATTACTTCATGAAATATCAACCAATTTTTGAAAAAAAATAAAAGAAAAATAAATTTGATTAGAAAATTGAGAAAACGAAAACAAAAAGGGATGGAAAAGACGAAACCCTCCAAGCCAAGCAACGGCCCAGGTACCCTCTCTTTTTCAGGCTTTCCTTTTAATTCACGCAAAAAAGTAGAAATCAAAACAATAAAATACACAAATAAAATGAAGAGATAAAAATAAAAATAAATATCTCACAGCAATAAATAAGAACAACACATTAACACCTTATCCATTCTTCTACCTGGACTTACCTCGGGATTGCTGTCATCAAATTCGGGTCCCACCTCACTCAGCCTGCACTTCTCGATGTCTGCCACGTGGTAACTTACCCAATATTCAACCGTGTTTGTTCACCACCTTTTTGTTGGTTTGAACTCTGAAGTGTTCACCATCGGCTTACCTCCTTATGTATGTTAACTGGGGGAAGGCGTGATTTTTTATTTTTTATTTTTATAGTAAATTCTAGGAGAAGGTTACTATTGTTGACGGCAGTACAAAAGTCAATGGCAAAGGAATCAAATTTTCCCCAGCTAACACAAATAAAATTATAAAATATGAAATTACGTGATGGCATTTTGCTTGGGTCCCCCTTTTCAACCATATAACAAGTAACACTAGAATAAGTAAGTCCCCCCCCTTTCAACAATGTAACATGTAACACTATAATAAGAGTCTGTAAAAAATTTCGTACTGTAGACATGAGTAAAGCTAGTTGGATAGGATTGTATTCGCTCGTTGCAGTTAAGTTTGAATCCCCCTCTTCGTAGATTGGATTAATTTCAAAGTAACTGAAATTTAAAAGCATATATGCTCTTACAAACAAGTAACACTAATCATTGTTATGGACTTCATAAATTAGTACAAATTCAATTGTTTTAATAATCTAGGATGGTCCTCGCAAAATTAGTCTTTGTGTTTTATTGATTAAAGAGGGACATGCAAAAACAAATGGAAATAAAATATTTTTACTCTTAATTTTTTATATAAGTATGCCACAAATTGTCACTAGTTAATTAACAACATACTCGCTCATAATCCTACGCGGCAAGGGGAGGTAAAAAGTGGAGGGAAATCCGAAGTTGCAGGGTTGTAGGAAGAGGGGAACACGTTGGGAATATCACAGCCGTTGATCTGTCGAAGTTGAGCTGTAACCGTCGTGCTTACAAGTGAGGGCTTCCATAAAATAAAGCCATTTTGCAGAGGGATTAGTTAAAAGCACATATTATAACCAAATAAAAAAAACAAGTAAAAATCAGAGAAAATTAAAAAAAAACTAAAAAAAAAACAAAGAAAAGCACGTCTCCCCATAAAAATTAAAGCAGAGGAATCGGTCTGTATAAACTTGGACGCTAATGCACAAGGCCCAGCGATAAACCTGCTAGATCGGTTCCTAAGGGGTTGAATTTTAACTCTTAATCAGGGATTTAATTATATTTTAGTGACTAAATATTCCAAATTAAAAATTAAGGTCCTCTTTTACCCTTTTACCCTTCCTGCGTTACCCACTGTTATTCGTAGATTGCCAAATTTGTCCATGCCAAGACAAGTGTAACTTATAAGGAACACCAATGTATGTAGTGTACTTGATGATTGTATGCGGTACATGCTGTGATTATTGTTGTACCACTGGGTGATTATCACCACAATCATCAATCCACGTGCATCTGATTTTTGAGAAAAGATTTTGTGCGAGCTTGGTTTAGTGCGTTGAGTAGAAGAATAGTCGTGTATGCTTTACTAACTATAAGTACGTATAATCTTTTGACTGAATTGTTATGTTACTCATTACTTTAAATGAGACTGTTAATCTAACAAGTGGATTCCAATAGAGTTACCCATATTGTCCATGAAACACCAAAAAATCGATTTGGGCACTCCTCTAGTTTGGGAGTGATTATGACCTATCCAAAATCACTTATGAGGAGAAATATAGTCTACGTGCCTCTTCATATAATCACATTTAATTATTTTAAGTGATTTTGTAGAGGTGTGATTCTTCATAAAAGTGATTATTGACCTATTCATAATCATTTTCAAACGAGCCTCTACACTACAAATTGAATGCTTTACAATAGACACTCATTGTACTCTTTACAGACAAATCACTATTTCAGATATGCGAAAATAACACATTACACACATATCAAAATGTGATTTGTAGAAGTAACTGAAGCTAAAAAGTAAGTTTTAAAATCACTCACAAACACAATGCCACGTAAAAGCAAAGGGACAAAATGGGCAAAGCAAACAAAAAAGAAAAAGGGCACAAAAGTAAGTTGGGGAGATTTCCCTTTAAAACGAAATTAAAGCCCCTTTAAAATTTTGTTGTATTAAGTGAATTAATTATTATAGAGGCCTTTTATTTTGCTCGTCAAAATCCACCATTTTAGGTGTCCGTCTGTCCCCCTTGAAGCGCAAAATAAACCCTCTCGGCTCTCCCTCTTCCTACACTTTCTCTCACTATTTTCTCACTCACTTTCTCTCCTTCCTCCTCTCATTCCTCATTGCCTGCCTTAACACCAAAACCAAAACTTCAAAACTTCAAAAACCCAAAAAAAAAAAGATAAAGAAAAAAAAAACAGAGGATACTTCCAGAGCTCGTAGCAATGGAAGCTCCCGAGTATTTTCAGAACAGTTTCTGCCCACAATTCACACCGGAAAAGCGCCACTCTTTTGACAATAATAACAATAAGGCCACCAATGGCGGTGGCGGTGGCGGGGACCATTTCATGGTGGAGGACCTTCTCGACTTTTCCAATGACGACGCGGTGATAACCGACGGTGGTGCTACTTTTGATAACGTCACCGGAAACTCTACTGACTCTTCCACCCTCACAGTCGTCGACAGCTGCAATTCTTCTTCCTTATCGGGCTCCGAACCCAATGTCATCCCCGATATCGGGTCCAGAAATATCGCAGAAGGCCCATTCTCCAGTGACCTCTGCGTCCCGGTATATACAATAAATTGCATTTTGCTGCTTCTCAATTGTCATTTTTCTTTTACTGGGAAAATTCATTTGTGAATTTGTTTTTCAATCCCAAAACAAAACGACAAAATCCATGATTGAATGAAATTCTCGGCGTTACGTAATTGGCACTTGGCTACAGTTCTCCGGAAATTCGAAATTTGAATTCAATTGGGTATTTTTGATTGGTTTTGATCAATTAATTAATTATTTTTTGGAATTTGTTTGGCAGTACGACGATTTAGCTGAGCTCGAATGGCTTTCGAATTTCGTGGAGGAGTCGTTTTCCAGCGAGGACCTGCAGAAGCTGCAGCTGATATCAGGAATGAAAGCCCGACCCGATGAGGCAGCTTCCGAGACCCGACAATTCCAACCCGAACGCAACCGAAACGACAACGCTCAGAACACCACCACCACCAACAACAACCCGATATTCAACCCGGACGTTTCGGTACCCGCCAAGGCCAGAAGCAAACGGTCCCGGGCCGCCCCATGCAACTGGACCTCCCGCCTCCTCCTCCTCTCCCAGCCGACGTCGTCCTCGGAGCAATCCGACGTCGTTTCAAGTGGGCCGGGATCTCCGTTACCGCCGCCGTCAACCACCGGGAAGAAAACGGTGAAGTCGGCCCCGAAGAAGAAGGAGAGCCCAGAGGGTCCGGGAGGAGGGCCGGGGGAAGGCCGGAAGTGCCTGCATTGCGCGACGGACAAGACGCCGCAGTGGCGGACAGGGCCCATGGGTCCGAAGACGCTGTGCAACGCGTGTGGGGTCCGGTACAAGTCAGGTCGGCTCGTACCCGAGGACCGCCCCGCCCCCGCCCCGACGGT